TATGTAACACCGGTACCTATAGAGAACGAGAGCGGTTTCGTCAACTCTCAGAGCGTAAGTAGTCCCTGGATTGCTTCACCCAGTCCGGAACACCGTTATTCGTTCATCTTCTCATCATTCCATCCCCTTCTAAACTGACCAGTAGTAGCAAATCTCAGTTTGATTTTCAAGCTTTTTTCGAACTTTGTACATTAAGGATTGTCTAGGAAACCGACCAAAACGATGCGTCTCCTTGTGCCCGCGTGCTGTCCGTGTAGCGGTGCTCCACAACAAGCTGAAGGCATTTTCAACAGAACGGAAGCGACCGAAAGGCACCGCACAGAGTAATTTTATTCTTCTCGATTTCTAGTAACTACACACCATATCTCGAAGATAGGGAGGGTGTGACTGCGCACTTCATTCCAACGTTGCCGGAGGGATATTGCCGCTTAGAGACACCTATGATGCTGTTTTTTTCCTCAGTTCAAGAAAGAACAGCAAGGTACTCCCACGAAAACGCATCCTTAGCCATCACCAGATGAGGTCATCCACGCCGTCCCCTTCTCCGTTACGTGGAGTGTATAGGAAGGGTTATACTAGCATCAGTTTCAGTGGTTCGCTATTTGATTAGAACCGAACGTTTTCATAAGGGAGGACGTTGCATTCTCCCTATACATTTTTCTATACTTCGCGACTCTGACTCTTGGAATGACGGCACATTTTTTGCGCTCTCTGCAGTTGCGGTTGCCGAATGATGCGCTCTCTGCTAAATTCTACATGAAAATTGAAGCCGTTTGCCAACAACAGTGGAAGTTCAGGAAAATCAGGAGGGCACCAGTGAGGCAGTGTTTCTTGCGACCTTCCCACTGTATCTCTCGTTCAAAAAGAGAAGCCTGAATATTCTTTCGTGCTCCGACAAAGTGAAACAATTTATTTCAGAAGCTCTTCTAATCTAATTGACCTCATCGCAGACAACGACCGTAGCAAGTACCAAGTTCAGGCGTCCAAGTCCCGTTCTGGCAGTAAGACGAAGTGGGTCCTTCGGGAACCATATTCGAAAAACAGGTTAGCGTAGCCATCGCTCCGTCATCTCTTTGGAACTGAAATGTCTTCCTGATTACACGGAATCGCTCAAGAAAGAGGGTGGCTAAGTTCAAGATTCAGTCTGGAAAGCATGAAACCATTCAAATGATCAAATTCTGAACTGAAAAAGTGGTGAGATGAAAAGAAACGCTTATTCAGTGTTGTCCCACCTTCAACACGCCATTATCACTGTAGTCAACGCGTCCGTTGAGAACAACTTTTGGCGAGCATTTTCCTGAAAGTGAGCCATTGAAACAACCTCCCTACACTAGTAGATGTTTGTAAGACCTGTTACGATTGATTTGCTGAATCGCAAAAATAATTGACTCTATCAATATACTAAGGTCAAGGAATCAAGTGGTATTTGCGAGTTTCCATCAAATCTTCCAGTTCAAACAGTCGGTCGTCGTGACAGAATTTCCAACTTAGAAATCCTTAAACGGGCAGCAGTGGGAGGAGTTTGCCATTGGAGTACATGTTTCCGAGACTGGCGGCCTGAGTCAGGTTCCGTTGGGCACGAAGCAGCTCTTCGGTGTCTGTAATGAAAAGTGTTTAGGTAGAACGAGCTGAGCGTAAAGCAAATGTTAACCAATTAAGAGGGCCCATCAGAGTCGGATTACGACTGCATAGAAGTGAAATCGCAAGTGGCTAACTTGTATGTAGTGGTTTGACCCTTGCCACTCTTAGAAAGATCGCGAACACTCCGAGGCCCTTTTTGTTCTGCCGTGATGCATCTCCCTGGATGTATGCATTTTTTGATGTAGCGTTTTTGCCACAGCTAGGTCAGCGACCCAAGGATTGAATTCAATGGCATCGAAAATACACTCGTCATCCTTGCACTCTGGCATAGTTACAATGTCAGTGCGGCTGCGTGGCGCGCGGTCGCCGCACCCGTACTGCACCAATCGGCTTTGAACAGCAGGAGACGTGCCATTAACGGTATGTATATCCGTGTGTTTACTCGTTTTTCTATCACTATTTGCTCGCATACGCTTTCAAACGTAAAGGCTGCGGAGAAGGCTTCAAACAGATGTGCACGCTCCTTTCGCCGACACGCCCCTAAATCAGTGCAAGGATTGACGACTGTAAGGTACTTCGAAACTTGGAGTTTGTATCTCAATTTGTCCAAGAACATTACTCAGCGCAGATCGTGATATACGTACTGATACCGTGGTGGCAATGCTTTTCTTATTGGAGATGACGCCATCTCGCCAGCGATGGATGTGGGTGCACAACTTGGCCATGACGCCTCTTCACCAGAGCGTCAATAACTGAACTGTAGTTAGCACGGGTGTCTCATCCGAATATGACGTCCATTCATATCGGTGCTAATGGGAGCTACCACCTTTCCATTGGAATCCGTCAAACTCCACACTCGGGTCATTGCGGTCCTGATCACATATACGAATTCACTTCTTGGTGCAGGCTGTCATTTCAAGCCATTCCGCCGCCAATCGCCTCAACGCACGAATGACACCAAAAGTAATAAACGTTGGATATTTGGGAGGGCATTCGTTTATTACTCTCTCTCTTATGCCCAGCCTAATCAGTAATTGAAATACGATGTTCTACCTCTGAAAATGAAGTCGCATATTCGTGCATTTAGATCAATTGAGCCCACGTTTGTAACAATTTTTAAGGAACGTGGCTGGCTGGCCCGTTGACACCGATTCCATCCTTGCGCGCCAAATGGCGCCGGCGCAAGGAGGATTTCGTAGTAAAGATCATTCGATGACCCATGTGCACGTGCTTATTGATCGAGAGACGGCCTAAAAGCAGAGTAACTGTGCATGTTTGAGTTTATGACCTACCACGCACAACAACTTTTAACGCAAGACGAAGCACGGTCACCTTCGAAGGGGTTACAAGGGAACAGTATTACGAATGACGGCGGAGTCTATTCAAAGGCCTGCACATGCTGCGCTACTGTACAAGCAGCTCTCGAAAAAACTACAATCTCTTCGCACGAAATGCGCGTTAGAACTCAAAATTTCAAGCATGGGGAAGTTCACAAACTGCCGGCCCGCCGTAGCCGATAACCTCTTTAGTAGTGGGAAAAGGTATAATGTAACCGTAGAATAGGCAGTTATCGTGTCTCGACCCTTGTGGCAAATAAAGTCAGAGCATTCTGCAGTTGCAATATATTCACTTCTACAATAAGCGCTGACACATGCACATATGAATCAGTGTTTACCTTCGGGATAGCCGGTTGTGCAGTTCATTATGGCCAAGGTCCCTGATGCAAACAACTGGGCACTGCTGCTATTCGAATAAGTGAGTGAAGCGCCAGCAGGAGCCGCTAAAGCAGAGCATGGCTGCACGGGCGGCACTAAAAAATATAGTATAAGTATATCAGCGAAATCTGGATTATTTAGATGTCACTCACATAATCTGGTGCAAGTTTTCAGTAGGCAAATTCCCAGAGTTGGGGTCCACATGCCATTCGAGCATTTGGCTTGAGAGGCGCCGTTCAGCTCATAACCTCGGTTACATTCAACTGTGACTGTTGCACCATCAGGCTTGTTCCACTTAAAAGTGCACATTAGCAATCAGCAAGTGAAGCTCGTATGAGTTTTAGATGATCACAGCGACCAGCAGAAAAGAAAGCGATTGAAAGCAGGAATACGCGGCACGGTCTGATATGGTGGATAAGGACTAACAGCAGGTGAAAGTGCAATGTGAATTCCAATGATGCGCAGCAAGCGCGAGCGAGGTGTCTTTCTACACCCACCCCTCCCCGACAACGCCCTGTATTTCCCTATGCTGTTGGGTGAGAACTCCGCAAAATGCGATAGCTCTCAGGGGTCCCCCCCCCGTTCTACGCTCTCCTTTCCTCACTGCTATCCTATATACCGTATTCCTTCTGCCCTCTTCCAACCATTTTTGCTGTCGTTTTTTTCAAGAATTTCTCCAGTTTCCAGATAACTGCCGTGGAGGGGGGGGGGCGATGGGGAAGGGGCGTGACGCACGTGAAACGGGAAAACATAAAAAAAGTCAACAACAGGGAGTGCCCTGATATCACAGTTTTTACCAGCCAGTATTCGTTTCACGGGCACATATCCAGCAGGTAATCTTCCGAACGACTAAATCCTTACCAGCCTCAAAAGCAGTACAGCTTCTTTCTTAGTCCAAAAATACTACCACAATCTGTGAGCCCTCATCGTATTATCACTCTCAGCAAGCTTCAGTAATGTTTTCTGTTAAAACACGTAAATTCAGACCTGGTTTGTCCCATTAGCGTCATAAGTGACGATTACACCAACACTAAGGCCAACATTCAGACACTGGTTTTTCGCTGAAATATCAAGAAAGTCATTTCGCAGTCATATCCAACTGAGTTACAAGAAATTCGCTACCTTCACAAAGGGGGGGGGGGACAAACAACAAAAAGAGCGAAGTTACTAATCTGTATCCAAAATATGTTCGGACTAACAATGAATGTCAAAAAGAAGTAAAGATGGGTCTCACGTTGTACTGCAGGTGGAGCATTATTCTGCACGCATCGTCCTGAAAACAACCGACATTTTCTAACACTGCTCGTGAAAACACTAACAGATCGGAAGAGC